AACTGGCTTAGGGACCGCACCCAGAGAGTGGTGGTGGATAGTTCCTTTTCAGCCTGGAGGGAGGTGGGCAGTGGGATCCCGCAGGGTTCGGTCCTCGGACCGATATTATTCAATATCTTCATCAGAGATTTGGACGACGGCATGGAGAGCCCCCTCTCCAAGTTTGCTGATGATACCAAGTTATGGGACAAAGTTAGTACACCGGAGGGCAGGGAGCAGATTCAGGCTGACCTGGACAGGTTGGATCAATGGGCAGAGAGAAATTGGATGCAATTTAATAAAGATAAATGTAAGGTACTCCACCTGGGAAGGAGGAACCCCCAGCACACCTATAGGTTGGGGAGTGTCCTTCTCAGCAGCTCGGAGGCAGAGAGGGATCTTGGAGTCACAATTGACTCCAAGATGAACATGTGCCGGCAGTGTAACGAGGCCATCAACAAGGCCAGTCACACCTTGTTGTGCATTAGCAGGTGCATGACTAATAGATCAAAGGAGGTGATGCTCCCCCTCTATGCGGCACTGGTCAGGATGCAGTTGGGGTACTGTGTCCAGTTTTGGGCACCACACTTCAAGAGGGACATGGGGAATCTGGTGAGGGTCCAGAGGAGGGCCACTCACATGATTAGTGGCCTTCATGATAGACCCTACGGGGGGACGTTGAGAGAGCTGAATCTCTTCAGCCTTCACAAGAGATGGCTGAGGAGAGATCTTGTGGGCGCCTATAAATTTATTAGGGGAGGTCAACGGGGAATAGGGGACATGCTGATCCTGGACCTAACACGTGTGTTATGGGCCAATATGTGTATTTTGGATAGGTGTAGAAGGGAAATCAAGCAGTGTGTATGGAAAAAGAGCAACTCCAAAGTATGTAAAAGGGAGAATCCCTTTAAATTTGTACCTGGAACCCCATCCTCCTTTTTCTTTGCACCACTCTTGTCATTCTCTTTGAGTTTAAGTAACAGTTACACTACGAGAGTTTCAGAACTTGTATCCAGTCACCACAGGGACTCTCACCTCATTTCTGATGTTTGCATGTAAATGATTTTTAATCTAACAGAAGGCCGAAAATTTGGTTATCTTCTGCATCGTGTCCGTTACAAAAGCTGTCCTTGGGGAACACACAGCATCCTCTATGTATTGGTTCTCAGGCACCTTCTTTGCTTATGATAAAATTATCAGAACTGTGTAGTCCATTGTGCATCACTTCAAATGTTGACACATGATGAATTTGCCTTTTTTCTGAGCCTTTCCCTGCAAAGCCTACAGGTACTACAATTCCT